TTTCTTTTCTCCTGTTATTATTATTATTATTGATGTTGTTTCATTTTGTTTTTGAGACAGTCTTGCTGTGTAGCCCAGGCTGACCTCGAACTCGGGATGATCCTCCTGCCTCCCTCAGTGTTCCAAGGGCTGAGCCTCCAGGTGTGCTCCATCATGCCCGTTTGGCTTTCCTTTTCTCAGCTTAATTTGCAAGCTACCAGAGAGGGACATCCTGCTTATTTTGCCATTACTCTCGGAGGCCACGTTGCAGCCGCGCGGTGATCGGAGACAGGACATTAACTTTCCACCTAGCACCAGATGGCCTGGCACTGAATTCCTTAAGGAATAGACCAGCACTGCCGCAAGTCCGGTTTGAGTACTTTGCTTGGTGTCTGCCAATTCAGTTTTACCCAGCAGGACTGTTCCTGGCAATGCTGGGGGCACAAAGCCAAGTGACATCTGCCACTCTTACAAGTCAGGGCCGATGAGATAGCTCAGTGGTCTAAAGCGCCTGCTTAGGCAAGTGCTCAGAGACCACAGTTTGATTCCCGGCACCACATGCTCAGCCCACTGCCCCCAGGGTGGGCTGAGCCAGCCAAAAATAGGTAATTAAAAAAAAAAAAAAAGTCAGATGACGGACAACAGAACTACCATGACATCTCCAGACCCCTCCTCACACTCCAATCAAATGCAAAAATCCCAGCCCCAGGGATTTAATCCCTCCTCTCTTAATCCCATCCGCTGCTTTTTTACCACCAGGCACCAAATTGGGTACAGTAGAGAAGTTTATCCTGCTGACTCAGGGCCACTGAGTTGCTCTCATGAGACTCCCTACCTGCCCCTGTCCCTCCGTGTCCCCTCCCAACGCTTCATTCCCAGCCCCCTGTATGTTCCCATTCACCTAAAAGACACCACAGCATGCGTTTAGGCGAGCCTCCCACCTCGCAGCCTGTGACGGGTTTCCTGACCCGTACAGGCGCTGCCGAGTGGGCTTTCCCGGTGCGGGCAGTGGCTGACTGTCGGATACCCTGGTTAAGAACTCTCTGCCCACAGCGAGCGGGAAGCCCTGAAAACAGCGCCCCCTTGCGTCCCAGAGCCCGCCTTTGCGTCTGGGCTGCAGCGTTCTAATTCCAACGGGATAGTGGGGGAGGGCACAAACAGAAATATTTTCCAAAATGCATCCATTTCACGGATCAGTCAAGGGCAGGACGCTATCATTCCTAAAGCAGGACTAGAAAAGCACACGGACTAAAGCTGGTCCTTGCCACTCCCTCTCCAGCTCCTACAGCAAACAGTCAGGTGATTAAGTCCTAATTAAATATGATCTCACATTGGCCCCAGGTCTGTTTTTCTTTTTTTCTCTTTTTTTGGTGGAATTGGGATTGAACCCAGGACCCTGCTCTGAGCTACATCCTCAGCTTCCCCCACCCCCTCCCAATTTTTGAGACAGGGTTTCGTTAAATCATTTAGTTGCCCAGGCTGTGCTCAAAACTTGTATCCTGTGGCTTCAGCCTGCCAGAGTTTGGGTATTCTAAGCCCGGTCATCACGACGCGCTCGGGGACTAGATGGTGTTGGGGGTCAAGGTTTTCGGGCACGCAGCGCGGAGACCACCCAGCACACAGCTGCTGACCTTGTGCATTTCAAAAACCTTTCTCAGGGCGGCTCATCTCTGTGGTCTTTTCTGCTCCCCCACCCCCTCCCAGCGCTCAGCAGGAGGGGAGCTTGCCTTTGTTCAACCTGCACCAGAGGAAGCCCCAGCCGCTGCGGCTCCGGGAAAGGGAGGGGGTGCTGTGTGGACGACCTGGGCCTTATAGGAGCCGGTGGTGGAGGAGGGAGGAGGCTGCGCAGCTGTCAGATTAGCTGCTCTGACAAAGGGGTAATTCTTTCTCTTGCAGCCCTGGCAGGGAACCCCCGTGGCGGAGACATGGGGGGGATGGGGGTGGGGTGGGGGGAGTGCTGTAGTGACAGACGCTGTGCACAGGGCTGAGAGGCGATTAGTGCAATCAAGTGCCTACTGTTGGCGGGGCGTGGTGGCCCTAGCCCGCAACTCCGGCACTCTGGGAGGCCGAAACTGGAGAACTGCAAGTTCCAGTCCAGCGTGGGCAATTTAGCCACTTAATGAGACCCTGTCTCACAATAAAATACAAAAAGGCTGGGGACATAGCTCAGCGTAAAGGCCCAGGGTTTGATGCCCACACTTGGGGGTGGGGAATAAATAAATAAAAGCACAGTGTTTGTAGGGTGAGTTGTTATAAGTTAGAAATCCTTACACAGGGAAGATTTGGAAGATTTTTCTGGGTATTTGAGCATTGTAGAAAATTGTATCTAATATAATAATAACCCTGTTATTAATAACCAAACGGCACAAACTTGCAGCGTGTCCACGACCATGCTGAGTGTTTAAAAATCCATCACCTCATACGGAATTCTACAAGTCTGGTCATACTAACCTCCTTTCAGGAATGGGATGGCTATGGGAGGACATGAAGGGGGCTGCTTGAGCGGAATCCGCTGTCGAGTGCGGGGTGGCATTGGCATCGAGGTCTCCTCACTACGCTGCTTCCTGTGTCGTTGTCGTTCGCTTCAGAATCAGCCGCATCGCACGTTGCCAGGAGACCCAGTGCACGCCAGGTCTGGAGGTCACCGCCAGACTTCCGCTCTCCTCAGGTCACAGGGCAGAGCGGAGGCGTGGAAAGGTTAGCCGAGCCCCCACAGTCAGTCCAGTGGGGCTCAGGGAGGAGGCGCAGCTCAAAGAGCTCTGCACTCCTGGCGTTATGGAGGCGCTGGGTTTTCAGGGAGTTAATCGGCCCTCAGCAGCTGCAGCCTCTCATTCGCACCCTGTGTTTTCCAGTCCCCTGTCTCATCACCTGCACATGTGCAGGGGGCCACACGCACCAATTGTGTGCGTCCCTGGGCGTCTCTTAAAGACCCCACAGCACAGAAGTGGGAGGCGAGCCTCTCTGTGCCGCTCTGCGTAAATCTCTCCGTGTGATGAGATCTGCGGGCTCTGGGGCTCCAGGTTGATTTGATCAGATTGAATGGTCCGCAGTTGTGCTGCGGGTTCCACTCTAGGCATCTCAATTGCTAATGATTTGCATCCTTTATTTCCGGGTGGGTGTACTGAACCCAGGGAGCACTACTACAGCCCCTTTTAATTTTTTTTTTAATATTTATTTATTTTTATTTATTACATTTATTTATTGTGTGTGTGTATGTGGCCAGCTCAGCCCACCAGGGGGCGGGGCTGGCTGGCATGTGGTGCTGGAGGATCAAACCGAGGTCCCTGTGCTTTGCCAAGCTTGTTTCAAGTAGGTGCTCTAGACCACTGAGCCATCTCTCCAGCCCTACAGCCCCTTTTAAAATTTTGACTTGGGTCTTACCAAGTTGCCCAGGCTGGCTTCAAACTTGTGGTCCTCCTGTCTCAGCCTACCCAGTAGTTATTTTGTGGGCTTGTGCTCCCAGAGCTGGCTACATTCTATTTATTTATTTATCTGGTACTTGGGTCTCGCTACATGGCTCAGACTCATAGTGATCCTCCTGTCTCAGCACTGGGATTACAGGCGTGCACCACCAGGCCAGGTTTCAGTGGCTGGCTCAGCATGGGGCTGGTGTGGCATGTGGTGCCAGGGATCGAGGCAGGAACTTAGAGCGCTGAGCTATCTCCCTGGCCCTACTGGCTACATTCTTGATCTCTGACTTCTTCCTGGCTGGCATGGAGCAGGAACAGCGTCTGTTGCCTCTGAGTGCTTTGCAGGTACTGTGCATGAGCCTGATTTGCCTGGCTGGCATGTTCTCTGTTCCATCTCTTTCTCTTTCTTTCTTTCTTTCTTTCTTTCTTTCTTTCTTTCTTTCTTTCTTTCTTTCTTTTTCTTTTTTTGAAAGGAGCTTTATTATAAAGGAAAAGGGGCTTCATTATCTTGGAGGACATGAAGAGAATTTGGGAAGGAATTCTCTGGATTGGAACAGGGGAGGCTGAGGCTTTTATGGGCTTTTGACAGGAGTGGGGCTTGAGGGGGATTTTAGATCTACCTGAGGAGCTGACTGGGGCCTTCCCTGAGGTGGTGGGAAAGGTGAAAGGAAACTGCACCCTGGGCTGAGGTGGAAAAGAAGCGAGGAGGTCGTCTCTGGGAAGATGAGCTGTTGCTTTTAAGGACTTCAGCCATTTGGATGACCACCATAATAATTCAGCAATTCATACCAGGGCCATAACCTATCATTCCCATCTTTTGGTTGTTATAAATGGGGCAACATGTCTCTTTAGACAGCTTCCTGCTGAACTGGGGTGTCGTCTTGGGGATGAGGGGAGTTGACAGGATGATGGTTCAGGCCCATGTAAAAGTTAGTGCCAGGTGTCTCAGCTAGGACTAGAAGTTTATCATTTGTGATGGCTCACATCAGAGATCGAAGAAACCTGAGATGTCCAGCGAGACTCGGGACTCTTGACAAAGGCGCCTCGATGTGGGCCATGGAACCCCAGCTCTGTTATTGCTCTGCAGCAGCAAGACCAAGCAGCTCAAGCATATGGATCTGGCCATAGCGAGGTTTCCTTGTCAAGGTCTTGCTTTGATGGGAGTCCCGAGTGTCGCAGCCAAAAGTTGGCAGTGTGTATAGTTACTTTTGGTCTCATTCCAGGTCACAGCACCAAAAATGATAGGTTTTGACGGTGTCGCAGCAGAGAAACAGGCAGAAGGAAAGGGAAAGGGGCTGCATTATCTTGGAGGACACAGAATTTGGGAAGATAAGGAATTCTCTTCCATCTATTTCTTAACCCTCCAGTTACACTGCTGGTTTCTGCCATGAGCCCATTTTAAGGCTTTAATATTTATTTAAATATTTTTATATTTTGAGACAGGGTCTCGATATGTAGTCCAGCCTGAACTCAAGCTCACGGTGCTGGCTTCGAACTTGGATTCCTCCATCCTCAGCCTCTTGGGTGTTAGGATTACAGGTGTGTACCACTGTGGTCCGGGTCAGTTGTAAAGAAATAAAGGTGTCAGCCCAAGATAGCTGAGGCTCTTACCTGAATCCAGGTGATCTAGGTGCCAGGGGTCGGTGGCAGATGACATGGGGGACAGCGTCAGGGGGGAGGCCCCGCAGTTGGACTCCACCAGCTGGCCCTGGATGTGCACGTGGGCCGAGGCGTTGGTCTGCCGCAGTGCAGCCTTAAGCGGGGCGATGTGATTGAACTGGACTCTGGAGAGGCAGCCCGTGAACCCTGGTGTGTTGTACTTGTGAATCTCCTGGTCAATTTTCCCTGTTTCTGAAAGAAAAGAAAAGGAAAAATAAGAACTGGAGCCCACTCGCTACGTTCAGGTGGAAGCCGTGCTTGGCACGGGACGCTTGTGCCCGGAGGGTGCTTTGGGCTTAGCCTTAGACACTAGGTTCTCACTGGCAGAGCGAGCCACTCACGGAGACTCAGGGATGCCACTGCCTGGCACTGCTGAGGACAAGGAGGCTGAGGATTAGGGCACTGGGTAAAGCCGGAGGCTTGCACGATCACCACAGGCTACTGGAGACACCGTGGACGCGGACGGTGCCCCCTTGGTTCTGGTTTTTCTCCTCATCTTTTCTGACCCTGACTTGATAGGACCTCGATGGGCAAACTTTTAGAGCCCGAGAGCCAAGCTACAACCAAAGCCCGCTTGTTTATCACAAAGCGCCCACACTGCCATTAAACCCGAAGAGTAATGTGTAGTTTGGTAAAGACAACTCTTCAAAGAAAAACACAATAACATGCGTTCACCACCCCTGTGAGACACAGAACACAGGCCCCTGCTTGGCCCTCCTGTCTCCATTCAGATCCTTTTCTTATATTCTCCTTCAGAATTTTTTATAAATCCAAGAGAAAGAAAAGAATTCCTGCAGCTTACTGGTTAGTTCTCTTCAGAATCAAACCCCTGTGTAATTCTGAGGTTTACAGAATCCCTGATCCTATTTGGTAGAGGATTTGGAAGTCACAGAGCTTGGCCATTCAATCTCAGCATACAAGTGTGTTTATGACAACCCTCTCTCCCCGGATTGTAAGGTCAGCATGTTACTGAATTGAGTTCCAGGGTGAATCTGATAGGGGCCTTGAGACTTTTCAAGGCTGTAGGGAGTGTTACACACTCCTAGCAGTTAAATCAGTGCATATTTTTAGATTCTGCATTCCTAGTTTTAGGACTCATGTTGAAGGATTGTTAAATGCTAAATACCCCTCTGCTAGTGAGCCAGCCAGACCGACCCTGGAGCCTCTTAACCAGCACCATTTCCAAGCAGGGCGACAACCTGCACTTGGCAACAGTCTCCAAATCTCTGGTAAATTACCAAAGCCGTTTTGTCTGGGATTCTGGCACATGCTCCAGAAGAGAGGACTACAAGTGGTTTTTGAAGATGACAGGACAGAGAACTTCAGTTTGACTTTGTAATGGGGTTTTTAATACTTGGGAAACTGCAGGAGTCTGACAGGGCTGAGGCTCAGGGATAGACTGGGAAGCGCCTGGGGTACTCTGTTAATGTGTTAGCATTTCAGTAGGAATGTGAAGGTGTGTAAGCTGCAGGCCCTGTGACAAGATGGTATCAGATAATTCCAGAGGCAGCAGTGGCTCTGAGCAAGCAAGCACGGTCCCCTGGGGACTGACACATTCCCTTGGGCTTTGATCAAGAAGGGGAGGAGACTGGACCCAGAAGGGGACCTTGGAAGTAGGCTCTGATGGTGGGCTGGGGGCCAGAGAAGGGGCAGAGGCAGCAGGGACTCTGGTGCCTAGGCTGATGAGCCATGAGCGTTGGCAAAAATGTTGGTGATGTGGGCAGGGGCAAGCCCAGGACAGCAGGGGAAACCCTTAGGGTTCAGTTGTTCCTTCCTGGAAAAGTGAGTAGGCCATAAAATAAGGATTCTAATGTCCCCAGAGCGTCATTGGCGTTACCACATCTGGATGACACATCTCTGTCCTGAAGACTTGCCTGGGACCAGGTCCCCTGGGGGCCAAGTGTGCAGGGATGCTTTTGACCCTGGGATCTGATGGGTCCAGCGTGGATGAGTGGATAGTAACAGCCCTGGAGCCTCTGCTGCACCCCACTCCATGTAGTTCAGGCTATGTGGGACATTGTCATGGGGTTGGTGCAGCATCTCTATATCCCCCCAAGAGGGCCATGTGCTGGAGACTTGGGGCCAGCAATGTGCCACTACTGGGAGGAGGTTGGACCTTCAGGAGGCAGGACCAGTGGAATGACTTAAGTCAGAGGAGTACATCCTTGACAATGGCGTGTTCTCTCTCTCTCTCTCTCTCTCTCTCTCTCTCTCTCTCCCCTCCCCCTCTGCTTCTCTACTTCCTGGTTGCCACAGGCTTTTGGCACATACCCCTACCATGTTTCTTGTGCAACACAGGCAAAAACATGGGACCATGGACCTAAATCTCTGAAATCATGAGCCAAAATGAGACTTTTTTCTTTTTAAGTTGACTCATCTCAGGTATTTGTTACAGTGCTGGCAGCTGACTCTCACAAACCTCTTGAGCTGGGCAGGATTACACCGACTTCATATATAAATGAAAAGAGGTTCATTTCAATGTCAAATTCAAGGCTTTTCCCATGAATAAAGCTTACTGTTTTATATAAAAAATTCCAATGTTTTGAATAGTTAACGATTCCAATGTTTTGTATTGGCTCATTTTCTCTCTGAAAAAGACCTTCCTCCTCCTCCTGTTTGTCCTTCTCCTCTTCCTCTTCCTCCTTCCTTCCCCCTTCCCCCACCCCCTCCTCCTCCTCTTCCTCCAGATAGAACTTGAGACCTTGTTCTAGTCCTTAAAGACTACACTATGTTGTTGGTATATTCTTATGAATTTTAGGAGCATTTGTAGTGTTCTATAGAAATGACAGTGAGTTTTTTTAGGTGAGGTTTTTTTTTTTTAATGTATTTGATACAGTGTCTCACTACACAGTGTGGACTCCTAGTGATCCTCCTGTCTCAGCCTCCCCAGTGCTGGGATCACAGGCATACATCACCAGGCCAGGACTCTGTTACAGGCTCACTGTGCCCCGCAAGTGGGGCCCATGTGGCATGTGGGACCTGGTATCAAACCCTGGTCTCTGCGCTTAGGTAAGGTTTTTAGAAGAGGCTCTGATGGTTCCTAGAACTGCTTTAAGACCATGTACTATTACACCATGAGCCACCAGCATGGCTTTTTTTTTTTTTTTTTTTTTTTTAACAGCATGGTTTTTAAAACTGTGGTGACCTGGTGCCAAAGCTTGGCCCTCACCATTTATAGACAGCAAATTCTTATCTAGAGTAAGATTCAATGTTTTGTAAGCTCTTCTACAGATGATAGTGCACTGCAGTTACAACTTTAGCACACTTATTACAATTAGGTTATGTTAATCTGTAGAATGGATTGCACTTGTTCTCTCCAGAAATAGATATTAAAAATCTCAGGCACTGTAAGAAACTACAGGGCTGGGGAGATAGCTCAGTAGAATAAGCACTTGCCTGTCAAGCACAGGGTCCCGAGTTCAATCCCCAGTAGCACACACACACACACACACACACACACACACGCACACACACACACACACACAAAAGAGAAACTACAGTAAGGCAGGAATTGAAAGCAGTGGCGACGCCTCGGCCCAGGTGTTACTTGGAGAAAATTTGCTCCACAGGGTAAGATTTAGAGCTGAGCACTCTGAGGTTAACTTCTCAAGCGGCAATTAGTCCTTTCATGTTTTAAATTCATAGGGATGTGGATCACGTGAAACAGCACACTTATGATACTGCGACAATTTCAGGTAAAACCTTAACGCGAGCTGCTCACAGCAGCGCCTTAGGGACAGGCAGCCGCCTTTGCAGCGCACTAAAGAGCTTTTCCGCGTGCTCTAACTCGGTGGCTGCGAGAAGCGACGGGCAGCTGTGCGACACATGCTAAGAGCACCTGAAGGAGAAGCTCCTGGAGACGGAAGGCAGCACCGTAGGGACCAGGGCTGGTGGCCTTGCACACAGCGGCCCTGGTCACCTCTGCACCTAGAAGCCCAGCAAAGCTGCATGTGGGCTCCTGGGGTGGGCACAGTCCTGCCACCTGTTCCCACTTGACTACACTTCTATGGATAGGGGCCTGAGTGAGCCGCGGAATAAACCAATGGCAGAAACATAATCACAACAACAAAAGCCAAGATCCAAGAAAAGCAACATAAAACCAAATGAACTTCCCCACTGGGTTCCAGTGAGACCAAATGATCGATGGTAGGCAGGGCACAGAGATGCAGGCCCCATGGCTCGGGAGACAGCCTGGCGGTCTAGCCGCCTGCCTGGCAAGCACATGGACCTGAGTTCGAGTGCCAGAATTGTGCCATATGTCAGCTGCAAAACCAGGCATGGTGGCGCATGCCTGTAATCCCAGCACTGGGGAGGCTGAGACAGGAGGATCACTAGGCGTCTGAGCTGTGTAGCAAGATCCTGTACCACATAAATGAATGAATGAATGATTTAAAAAATGCGGCACCTGGGTTTCATGCTGCCCTTGCCTCTCCAGGCTGCCGTTTCTGGGGGACATTTTCCTGACCAATTGACTGTCAAAGGACCCCAACCAGCATGAAATCTATGTACATAATTGATGTATATCAGAACCTACCACAGCATTTATGAATTCCTCAGAGAAAGACACTAATGAAATTTCGTTTCTTTATTAGATGCTTTTTTCTTTTATGAAGAAAGACAGGACTAACATACGCATGTGTAATTTAAGTAGATCTTGACCTACGGCACACACTAATTCAGTAACAAAAGGCTAGGAGGGAACAGCCTCTTTGTTCCCCCCACACTGTGCCTATTACATTTGAACCCATAAATGGTTTTTTTTTCTAAAGATCAAGGTAACAAAATTGGGTGTTGTTTTCCCCCATTAAATAGCATTGAACTCGTAGTGATCCTCCTGTTTACAGCCTCCCCAGTGCTGGGATTACAGGCACGCGCCCCCAAAAGCAGATGTGGTCTCCAGCTCAGTGTGCCCGGGGGCAGGGTCGGTGTGGCATGTGGTGCCAGGAATCGAACCCCGGCCCCTGCGCTTGCCTAAGCAGGTGTTTAGTCCACCGAGCTATCTCACTGGCCCTCCTTAGGAGCTATTTGGGTTATGCAGAGCACACATCTGAAAGCACACGTTTGGATTTCCCTCCCTTTTCCTGGGCCTTTCAGATTGCTGGACCTAAGACAGAAAGCCCGGAAGGTACTAATGCCCGTGCTGTACTTCTGACATCCTGTTATGTTGCAGGGTTTTCTGGGCCTAAGCAAAG